TTCTGCCTCCTGAATGGTAGGATTAAAGGTGTATGCTAGCACATCTGGCTTGAGCCTGTTGCTTGTTGTTGTTGTTTTTTGAGACAGGCTCTCATATAGCCGAGGCTGGCCTCAAACTCACCAGAGCTAAAATTGGCCTGGAACCCCTGATTCTCCTGCCTCCATGTCCCAAGTTTCAGAATTATAGGCATTTGTCACCATCCCTGGCTTCTGATAAGTTTTCTTCTTAAAAACTTTATTATTATTAGCTGGGCGCGGTGGCACATGCCTTTAATCCGAGTACTTAGGAGGCAGAGGCAGGCGGATCTCTGTGAGTTCGAGGCCAGCCTGGTCTGCATAGTGAGTTCCAGGACAGCTGGGGCTACAGGGAGACCCCCTCCCAAAAAAACAACCCAAAAAACAAAAAACAAAAAAAACCTAAACTTTATTATTTATTATTAGTGCGTGTGTGCATGTGAGTGCATATTTGTGGCATGCATATGTGCATCATGGCACAGGTGTGAGGGTAAGAAGACAACTTTTGGGAGTCAGCTCTCTCCTTCTCCCTGGGTTCCACAGATTAAACTCAGGTTTTTGGGCTGCACAGCAAGTACTTTTATCCACTGAGTTATCTTGCTAGCCCAGTTAACTTATTTTCTTGAGATGGTCTGGGGAATAAAGTTTTTAGCTCAAGGGCTGTGGGCATACTTAACAGCTGTGGCTTTCTCCTATGGGATACCTTGACTGCAGGTAAATGCCTTCTCAACCTTTCAAAGGTCCCCAAATGTTGCCCCGGGGATGGGCTCCCCCACATCTATGGACAGTTATCTTTTCATGAGATCTTATTATTTCCTGTACCATATAGCAAATTCAAGAGGAACTGACCACTCCAGGGCTAACTGTGTGCTTTGCTTGACCAAGACAAATATGGACCAATGATGAGCCCTCCGCTTTGTATTCCTAGGGGTTCATGAGAACTCTGGGTCACATCTCCATGGACCTAGTGTTCTACACACGAAATGGTTGCTGGCAGAGACAAGGGCATGGAGCACAGACCTCATGGGGCTTCAGCTTCTACAGGACTCAGTCGGTCCCCAAAGAGTAAAAAACAGCTGCTTCTTGTCCCACAGGGACTATGTGCTTCTAACAAGGAAGTTGGTTACAACCCCTCACTCCAGCCATGAGCTGGGTTATTACTGCTATTTGACACAAAGAAAAGAAGTCTCAGGCAAAGTGAGTGGCGTGCCCGAAGGTGGATCCCCTGGAAGTGACAAGAATAAGATTTGAACCTAGGCTGCTGGACTCCAGGGCTATGTCTCTCCCTCGCTGTGCCAGTCTGTGCCCCTAGGGGATGCTTGTAACATGAATAAAGGACTTGGGTCCCATGGGCCTTCTTCAAAGCAGCAACTTGTGTGGGGCACATGTGTACCACAGGAGCTCCACCTAACTTAAGAATTCACAGGCAACCACAGCTGGTATCAGTCACCTGGTACCAGCTGATTGAACCAGGCCTAAGCACATGGTTCAAGGACACTGACTCTTGGTCTGGCCACACACACCATAATAGGATAGGCAAACAATGAACTGAGCCAATCAGATTTCCTTTCAGGAGAGTGAACTGGAAGGTCCAGAACATGGGGTGGAAGCTGCTTCGGGTGGTACTGGACCAAGTTCTGTAATCACGCTGCTCTGGGCCAGATCTGGGCCATCGTTTCCTAGCTGTGTTTTTGGGTGAATTATTTGTGGGTATGGGTGTGGGTGTGCATGTGAGAGTACTTGTGCATGAGGGTGTACATACACATGTGTGTACAGACCAGAGGGCAACCTTAGGTATCTTTCCTCGGGTGCCATCCACCTTGTTCTTTTTTTTTGTCTTTTTTTTGAGGCAGGGTCTCCCTAAAGCCCCAGCTGTCCTGGAACTCACTATGTAGACCAGGCTGGCCTTGAACTCACAGGGGTCTGCCTGCCTCTGCCTCCCAAGTGCTGGGATTAAAGGCCTGCACCACCACGCCCGGCTCTTTTTTCTTTCTTAAAAAACTAATTTTTAAATCTAATATACAAAATAAGGTTTCACTATGGAAATTTCATACATATGTGTCATTAGGGGTTTCTTTCTTTTCTGTTTTTAAGACAGTCTTACTCTGGCTGGAATTTGATATGTAGCTCACATTGACCTTGAACTGGAAAGACTCCTCTTGCCTTAACCTGCCAAGTGCTGGGGTTAAGCATCCACTCCCAGCCAGGTTGTTTGCAAATTACACAGACATTCTTTTTGTTAGTTTTGGCTAAGAGGCCCTCAGACTATACAGCTGAGGATAGACTTGATCTCTTAAAAAAATAAATAAAAAGGATTTATTTCTTTTTATTTATGTATATGAGTGTTCGTGCACCACGGGTGAGCAGTGCCTGAAGGGGGAGAAGAGGGTATTGGATCCCCTGGAGCTGGGAAGCAAACTCAGGTCCGCTACAACAATCAGGAAGTGCTCTTGATCCCTGGACCATCCAGACTTGAAGTCTTAACCCTCCTGCCTCCACCTCCTATTGGCTGGGATTATAGGCAGGCATCATCACAATGAAGTACACAGTCATTTCGTGTCTGCAACACTGAGGGAGGACTGTACACCGATTTCCCTTGAATTAGCACACAGGAATTCAGTTTCTAGAAGTGGAAATCCAAGGTTGGAGTCGTCTGACATGGTGCTCAGGGTCTGTAACTGTGCCACCCCAGCCCCACAAATCTCAGAGCCCTGCTTTCAAGATCCTTCACATTCCTTTGAAGGTCCTGGGAACCTTTCCAACCCTTTTACTGGGGCGACCTCTTATTGCCACCAGAAGCTGCACTTCTGGGAAGGTGCCTGGGTTCCCATAGCTTCTACCAGCAGAGGCCAGAAAAAGACTTCAAATTATAGAAGCCACCTCTTGTTTCTGGAGCAGCTGCCTCCGCTAGATTTCTAACATTCCTTAGAGATTAGTGGGATTGCTGTGAGGACAAAGGGCCTGTCACCTGAGCTGGCCAGGGACAAATCCCCACCTCTGCCTGAGCTGGTGTTTTTTTGTTTTTGTCTTTTTGAGACAGGGTCTCCTTGTAGCCCCAGCTGTCCTGGACTTACTATGTAGACCAGGCTGGCCTCCAACTCACAAAGATCCGCCTGACTCTGCCTCCCAAGTGCTGGGATTAAAGGCGTGCGCCACCACGCCCAGCCAAGAAAATATTGAGCTGGTGTTTTTTTACAGACAAAGTCCTGGGCTTTCCTTATCTAAAATCCCTTCCTAAAAGGAGACCTTGACTTCTCAACCTTCCAAACATCTAGTGAAACTCCCACCTTGGTCCAGGCCTTGGCTCTCTCTCTCTCTCTCTCTCTCTCTCTCTCTCTCTCTCTCTCTCAACCTCTCTGGGGTTCAACCCAGGTCTATCTCCACGGGACCCCCTTGCATTCTTTTGTCCAGTAACATCGTTTTTTCTTGCAGCATGTTCAGGCTAGTTCCCACTCTTTTTGAAGAGATTTTTTAGCTTCCAGCCAACTGTAAAAAAATCCCTTAAAGAGGGGCTGGAGAGATGGCTCAGTGGTTAAGAGCACAGGCTGCTCTTGCAGTGCACCCACATGTTGGCTAACGACTGTCTATAACTCCAGTTCCATGCCCTCTTCCAACCTCGGCAGGCCTTGCAGGACACTGGTGCACTTACACGCATGCAGGCAATACATAAAATACACATAAGGGGCTGGAGAGATGGCTCAGCTGTTAAGAACACTGGTTGTTCTTGCAGAAGACCAGGGTTTGATTCCCAGCACCCGCATGGCAGCTAACAACTGTCTATAACTCCAGTTCGTTCCAGGGGATCCGACAGCCTCTTCTAACCTCCGTGGGCATTGCACAACATGGGTGCAGTTACCTACATGCAGGCAATACACGCATAAAATATAGTATTAAAATATAAATAAAATATTTTTCAAAATCCTTCAAAGAAGGTATTTCTTGTGCTCTGGGCTCTGGAATCAAGCCTCTGGCAGCTGGGGAAACCTCTCTTCCCGATGTTCCACAACATAGAGTTGTCGTTTTATATTACCTGCACCCTCACTTACTTCCAGGAAGGAGGCAACGAGGTCAAAGAAAGAGGCAGTGTGTGGGCACACGGAGCAGGGGCCCTTGCCCCCCGCTTCCCCGCCCAGGGCAAAGGTATATTACTCATGGTCACGAGGCTGTGCCCTGCTGCGTGTCTGTGTTGGGGAGGGTGACAGCATCCCCACAGCCAGCAGTTCTGAGGCAAGCACCTTTGCTCGGTGATCCTGGCAGTTGCTGAGGTCCGCCTGTAGGGACGACGTCCTGGGACTCCAGCCGAGCTCTCAGCACCACGGACAGGGAAACTGAGGCCGCTAGCCTGCACCCGCCGGCGGCTTGTGTGTGACCTTGACCCAGCCATCTCTCTTCCCCTTCCGATTTTTGAACCCGGGATAGTAAAGACTCCGGCTCTGGGTTGGACCGGGGGTGGGGGGATGGGGGTGGTGGCTGCACCTCGCACAGAGCTAGGAAATGTTATAAAAACACACGTACGAAGCTGCGCCAGGAGAGGACTCGCTCCAAGGTCACGAGGAAAGAGCAGCCAGCTTCCAGACACCAATTTCCTGCGTGTCTCTGCCAGTCCGCCTCCAACCCCAACCCCGGGGCCTTTAAAGTCGCCGCTTTCGGATGGGGGGGCTGGCCGGGGAAAGCTTCCCTTCCAAAGTCTACCCTCGGGTCGGTCAGGGCAGCTGAGCCTTCTCCATTCCCGTCCGGCGAGGCCCAGGCCCGCACAGGCGCCGCCCGGTAAGCACCCGCAACCTAGCTTCAGTTTTCCCGGATCCCCGGGACCCCAGGCTGCACGGTCGAAGCCCCGCCCTTCTCAGGCAGAAGGCAGGCCCCGCCCCCGCGCTCCAGCTCCGCCCCTTTCGCGCAGGCCCCGCCCCCACCCCGGGGCCCTCAGCGCCTGAGGAGGAGGCCTCAGCCAATGGGAAGGCGGCGTGGCGAGGGCGGTGGCGGTTGTGATGCGCCGGGACAGCCAATCAGCGGCGAGCGCAGGGGCGGGCGCTGACGCCCGGCGCTCCGCGTGCGGCGCTGTAAAGGGGCGAGCGCCGGGGCCCTCCTCAGCAGTCATCCGCCTACCGCCGCTC